AAATATATTATTTTCTAATTAGATTTCATTTTATTTAAAAAAACTCATAATAAATAGATAAATTAGTAATATGTGTTAGAGTTTTATAGAAACTCTTTTAATTTTTTTTTTTATTTTTTATATCAACTAATAAATATTTTTTATATTAATAATTCTTGTCTAATTAGATTTTCTTTTATTAAAAACTCATAATAAAAGGTAATTTCTGGTATAGTTTTAGATAAATTATTTTATTTTCTATATCAATTAATAAATATTTTTATATTAATAATTCTTGGCTAATTAGATTTTCCTTTATTAAAAAACTCATAATAAGTAGATAAATAGGTAATTTGTGTTAGTTTTATTTAAACTCTTTTAAAGACTCTTTTTATATCAATTAATAAGTATTTTTTATATTAATAAATAAACACTGAAATACAGAAATATTGAGACACTGAAATCAATAATTCTTGTCTAATTAGATTTTCTTTTATTAAAAAACTCATAATAAATAGATAAATAGATAATTTGTGTTAGTTTTATCGATACTCTTTTAAAAACTCTTTTTATATCAATTAATAAGTATTTTTTTATATTACTAAATAAATACTAAAATACTGAAACACTTAAATATTGAAACACTGAAATCTTTGCACATTTAATAATATAGTAGGGTAAAGTGCAATAAATCCTCCTAAACTATCTGACAATTGCACAAAACCCCCCTGAATTAAGTATTGCTCCTCTAAACTATTAAAAAGTTGTATTGAAGGACATCCGATCATTTGTTGATACCGAAAATACATGATTACGAATATATCCTTGACCCTTTTGGTGATTTATGGACTTCAATTCCTGATGGTGTCAAATGAAATCTCAATAACCAATAAGAAGTTAACAACTCATCACCTTATCACAAACAGACAACTCCAAATTTATCTCTCCACCTTTTCAGCTTTTCTCCATCTCTTTGCATCATCTTTCAATGCCTTTGCCAGAACCAACCTCGATGCGGGTCAACTGTAAAACATTGCATTTTCCTATAACTATCTCTAAATAAAATGATCAGCGACCATGGATTTCGATTCTGGCAAAATTTTTTATGTTTCTCTCCAATGCCATCTCTACACTCCCCTCTCTCTAGCAGTTTACTGCTTCACAGACATCCTCATTGGCAACTGTGACGTCCATGGATTCCGGCGAGATTAATCTTTATTTCTTTCCAACACCATCTCTGCACTCTTCTCTCTAGCAGTTTTCTCCTTTATAGATATCCTCATCGGCGACCATGGTGTTCATGGATTCCGTCGAGATCTTTTCTTTGTCCAGCATCATCCCTACATTGCTCTTTATCTAGCAGCCATTTCCATAAAAACAGTTACCCATTGGCGACCATGGATTCCGGCGAGTTCGTCTATGTGTTTCTCCAATGCCATCTTTGCACTTTTCCTTCTCTAGCAACCAACTATATTTCTCCCATTACATCCAATCTGAAGGCGCAATTTGCTAAGGAACGGCAAGGTCGAGGTTTAGGTTCGGTATTCTACTTTGATCTTTGAGAAATCATTGTAGAGAGAATTTCAGTTGACATGGCTTAAACTTCAGCTTACAAGGGAGAGCGAATGCTTACCGATTCAGCCATTAAGCTCATCTTACAAAAGATGAAGAAGACCAAACATGTCCATAGATAAAAAATGTAACAGAGATGGTTTTTAATATGGTGAATTTCAGATTTATATAATTAATTAATAGTTTCTATATATAATAAGGGCAGATTCGTCATTTTAAAATTACAGCTTGGACACGTGGTCATCACATGCTTATTTAACGGGAAGAACTGAACGGAAGTTCGCCGGTGGGTAAATTTGGTAAAACTTTTGATAGCTCAGGGGGTTAACTGCAACCATAAAAGTTTAGGGGGGTTTACAGGGAGAGAGAATATAGTTTGAGGGGTTTTTTTGCACTTTACCCATAATAGTATATATATAGATATAGATATAGTAGTTGTGAACAAAATACGAAACCATACTTTTTTGTTTCACATATTAATTAAAATTCAAATTTTATAATATTACTTTAATTAAAATTTAATCTCATAATATTATTTAATTAAATTACATAAATTGATAAAACTCAATAAAAAATCCATCAAGGTGAATATGTGTGTGTGTATATATATATATATATATAAAAGACAATTGAAAAAAGAAAAGAAAAAAAAGAGTAAAGAATGAAGTGTACTATATATAATCAAGAAATAAAAAAAAAAGACAATAGTTAAAAATAAAGTTAAATATACGTAAGAAGGAAGGTTATTAGGTATACTAGCCTCTAGCATAGAAAAGAAAGAGAAAATAATTTTAAAGGTAATTTAATTCTAAAAGTTAAAGTTTTATAATTCTAAAAAATTATGAAAAAAATATTAATTATAACTTTTATAATTAGATTTTGCCTATGAATAATTAATATATGTTTTTTATGAAATATTTCAGTCAACGGCCTTTTTGGTCAAATATTTGCCACAAGTAATTGTAAAATAAAGAAAGGCAAGATAATATGGGGTTGGTGGAACCCACGTGAAGGAAAAGGTCTGAGAGAGAAAGGAAATTGTAAAATAAAGAAGGTCAAGATAAGATTGTGTTGGTGGAAGAGGAGCGTGGGTCCAGAAAGAGAGTCAGAAGTCATCATGCCCCAAAATAATGAAAGATAAGAAAAATAATGCAAGGATAACAGAAGTCTTTTGGCTATAAATAAGATTGTGTTGGTGGAAGAGGAGCGTGGGTCTAGAAAGAGAGTCAGAAGTCATCATGCCTCAAAATAATGAAAGATAAGAAAAATAATGCAAGTATAACATAAGTGTTTTGGCTATAAATAAGATTGATTGTGTTGGGGGAAGAGGAGCATGGGTCTAGAAAGAGAGTCAGAAGTCATCATGCCTCAAAATAATGAAAGATAAGAAAAATAATGCAAGGATAACAGAAGTCTTTTGGCTATAAATAAGATTGTGTTAAATAAGATTGTCACCATAGATACAATGGAGGAAAATCAGTGTCTCCGTACATCTGTATTTACGTTTTTGTATTTCTTTTTGTTCAATAATATTACTGTGTTTGCTTTTATTATTTTTGTTTTAATATTTTAGTTTAAAGAGTTGATGAAACCATTATATTTAATATTTAGATAAATATTTTTTATTTTTTGCATTAATATTTCTTTTAGAGTATAGTTTTGTGAATCTTAATGATATAAACTACTCCACAAATGTTAGGTCAAAGGGTAAAAGGACGGATTCTTCTTGATGGCCAATTAATTAACATACGGGGAATGTCGGCCAATATTTTACTTAGAAGCCGATAAAAATAGAGGGATATTCTTCATGATATGCCACTTAGTGTACATAGTAGGGTAGTGTAGTGCAGTGGAGACCACTGTTTACAATACATTTTTTAGAGGAATAAGGACGAATTTTTCCTGGTGGTCAGATAATGAACATACGGGAATGCCGACCATTATTTACTCTCCCCGACAAGAAAGAGGTAGTGAAAGAAGTTGTCAAAGAGATTTTTCAAGAATTTTTCTAGTAAATAGCCTAGTTCTAATGTCATATCTTCCTTCATCTTTCTAAGTTCTAATTGGACTGGTCGAGTATATATTATTTGAGGAGAAATTATACAGGAAAATTAGACTATTTATTTATATAGATTCGTGGTGGTGGATTCTATTCCCTTGAGATTTTATTTATTTTTGTTTTGATTTTGTTTTCTTATTTGTGATAAAACCCCAAAAATATTGTTTTAAAATTATTTTCTCTAACTGTGTTAAAATTAAATTAATTTGAATTCATATTAGTTTTTCATCAAAGCATTCCTTTGGGTTCGGCTCTGCTTATCACTATGCAATTTTAATAAAGTGATTGTTGGAAAATAAATTATTTTTGTACGAAATATATATGCAACTATAAAACATACAAAATATATACGCGATCCGTTGTGTGTTTGGTATAAAATTTTAAAAGAAAATAAAGAAATTTGGATGGATGCAAACTAAATATGATGAGTAAAGTTTGTTATCTACACAAAAAGGAAGAAATGGTTGCAAATTTGAATGAAACTTTTGTGATACTAATTTTATTTAAAATATTATATGAGTCATTGGACATGTTTTAATTCACTTTAATTCTCGCTTTGGATTGTCAGATGATGCATTACTTATCTATGTAATAGTCTTTTAAAATGTAAAAGAATATTGTGGTAAATTTATTAAAATAATTTTATTTATTTATTATTTATTTTTCTAAACATTATTAAAATGTTAACATTTTCGTATCATTTCTTTCTCTGTTAGTCAATCAAACACAATGCGAGGTTTACACTATCATTTTCAAAGTAATGTAATCTTATTTATTCTATTTTTTTTTATGAATAATGCTACAATTGTTGAGATTTTATCTCTTATAGTACAACTATAAGATTGAATTATTTACTCTTTGATTTAGGACTAATTGGTAGGTAATTAGTTACCTATTTTAGCTAAATCCTATTCTATAAATTAGATGTAACACCATCAATGAAAGTATCGAATAGAGTTTTAATTCTCATATTCTTTCTCTGAATTTCAAGATGGTATCAGAGCGAAGGAAACTGTATTACTTGGACTTGATGTCCAAAAGTTCCGACAAGCTACTACAAGTACTGACAGTGGATGGTTCTGAGGGGGAGAAAAAGAAATCTGAAATTTGATTGTGGCATCGACGTCTGGGGCATGCTTCCTTTGGTTATTTGAAAAAATTATTTCCTAGTTTGTTTGCAAAATTTGATGTTTCTAATTTTCGCTGTGATGTTTGTCAACTAGCAAAGAGCCACCGTGTTTCGTATCCATTATGTTTGTGTCAAAGTCCACTTCCTTTTATGATTATACATTATGATGTTTGGGGTCCGTCCAAAGTCCCTACTTTAGGTGGATCCCATTGGTTTGTTACTTTTATTGATGATTGTACCAAGATGACCTAGTTGTGCTTGATGAAGTCCAAAGGTGAAGTGAACTTATTGTTTCAGAAGTTTCATAAAATGGTTGAAACTCAATACATTGCACATGTTAAGGTTCTCCGTGATGACAATGGTGGAGAATATCAGAGTTTTGACCTTCAGCAGTATTTGGAAGCACATGGAACTATTCATCAAACCACTTGTTCCAATACACCCCAGCAGAACGGGGTTGCAGAGCAAAAAAATCGACACTTGTTGGAGGTTGTTTGTGCTTCATTGATAGAAGCGCATATGCCATTATTGTATTGGAGAGAAACACTTATCTCTGCAGCATATCTAATCAATCGAGTACTTTCCAGCTCTATTGCCTTCCGGACACCATTACAGGCTCTCACTGACGTAGTTGTTGCCTCAACCGTCCTAAATCTACCTCATAATGTCTTTGGTTGTGTAGCATTTGTAGACCTCCATAAGCATCAACGCAACAAGCTAATTCTTTGAGCATTGCGATGTGTTTTTCTAGGATATGCTACTCATCAAAAGGGGTATCGGTGTCATCACTCTCCAACTCGATGAATGTTTATAACAATGGATGTTGTCTTCCATGAAGACTTCATGTATTTTTCCTCTGCCTCTGAACTTCAGGGTGAGTACCAAAACAAAATTCAGACTCTAGATTATGATTATCACACTTTTGAGGACGGCGATTTTAGTGTTGATGACTCACAAGTTGGACCAACCAATTAGGAATCGGGCGAATTGGATTCGAGTGGTATAAGTTTGGATCAAAGTGGTGATGAATGCCCAGAAATGGAAAGTATGGCACCAACCCCATCGTCGTCTGAGTTCGAATCCCTTGCAACTGATATATCAAACCAATTGCCTGCTGAGGATGTTCCTGATTTAGTGCCTAAGCCACTCAGAAAACAATTACCACCGCGTCACACTAGAGGTATTCCTAAACCCACATATGAACCCGAACTTTCTAGTAAAATTAAGTATCCCATGAGCAATTATGTGTCGAACCATCATTTGTCAGAATCAAATTTGTTATTTGTAAATCAATTATTTACTGTATCTATTCCGAACAGTGTGCAGGAAGCCTTAGCTGATCCTAGGTGGAAAGCAGCTATGAACGAGGAGATGAAATCCTTGTAGGAAAATAAAACTTGGGAACTCATTGATCTTCCACCAGGAAAGAAACCAGTTGGATGTCGATAGATTTACACTGTGAAGTATAAAGTCGATGGCACAGTTGAACGCTTTAAAGCAAGATTGGTGGCAAAAGGTTATACCCAAACCTATGGAATCAATTACACAGAGACGTTCGCACCTGTAGCCAAAATTAACACAGTTCGAGTCTTGTTGTCTTTAGCTGCGAATTTGGATTGGCTATTGCAACAATTCGATGTGAAGAGTGCCTTTCTGCATGGTGAATTATCTGAAGAAGTCTACATGGATCTCCCACCAGGATGCATGATACCTAAAAAGTATAATCGGAAGGTCTGCAGGTTAAAGAAATTATTATATGGGTTAACACAATATCCAAGAACATGGTTTGAAAGATTCACAAAATCTATGATAGCCTTTGGCTACCATTAGAGCAATTCAGACCACACGTTATTTCTGAACAAACAATAGGGTAAGATCACTACACTCATTATATATGTAGATGACATGGTGGTTATAAGGAATGATCTTAAAGAAATGAAGGCTCTCAAGAAGTACTTGTCCAGAGAATTCGAAATGAAAGATCTAGGTCCTTTGAGAAATTTTCTTGGGATCGAAGTATCTCGATCTAATAAAGGAAATTTTCTATCTCAAAGAAAATATTTCTTAGATCTATTATAAGAGACTGACATAACAGGATGTCAACCAGCTGAGACACCAGTGGAAGAAGGATTGAAGTTATGTGTTGAGTCCAACCAAGTATCTGCTAATAAAGGAAGATACCAAAGACTTGTAGGGAGATTGATGTACTAAGCACACACGAGATCGGATCTGGCTTATGCATTGAGCATTGTTAGCCAGTTTATGCATGATCCTGGAGAGCAACATATGAATGCAGTTATGCGCATTTTGAGGTATTTGAAATCTACTTCTGGAAAAAGGAATTTTGTTCACTAAAAATGTTAATTACCAAAACATAAATGTATATACTGATGTTGATTGGGCTGGAGCTATAGATGATAGGCGATCTACTTCTGGTTACTTTACTTTTGTAGGAGGTAATCTTGTTACATGGAGAAGTAATAAATAAAATGTTGTTGCTCGCTCGAGTGCAGAAGCTGAATTCAGAGGTATGACGCTTGCACTTTGTGAAATATTGTGGTTAAGACTTCTCTTGCGGGATTTGGGTTATCTACCTGGACAACCTATTCAACTATATTGTGACAATAAAGCAGCATGAATCCAGTTCAACATGATTGTATGAAGCATGTCAAAATAGACAGATTCTTCATTAAGGAGAAGTTGGATGGGAAAATTTTGGAGTTGCCTAAGATTCGATATGAGGATCAACTAGCCGACATTCACACTAAAGCAGTCTCAAATTAAGTATTTTCAAAATTTTTAGACAAGTTAGGCATGTGTGACATCTATGCACCAACTTGAGGGGGAGTGTTGAGATTTTATCTCTTAAGCCATGTTTGGTGTGAGTGAATGGAATCAAATGAAGTGAGAATGGAATACTTTTGTTTTCATTCTTTAATTTGATAAATAACTTTAAAGTTGAAATGATGATTCTTACTTATTCTCCGAGAATGGTAATTCCCTCTAATTCATTCCACTTTCAAACTAAAGGAATGGCCATTCCATTCACACTTTAAAAAAAAATAATAAATAAATGAATAAAAAAGCATTTAATGAAACGTCGGCTACACACACATATATATATATGTTTTACAAAAATATAATATTTTTCTGTGCAACCAAACATGAAAATGAGAATGGTCATTCCATTCTCATTCCATTCTCTGATTCATTCAATTCCCACTTTATTTCATTCAACCACATCAAACTAGCCCTTATAAGCTGTAAGATTGAATTATTTACTCTTTGATTTAGGAGAAATTGGTAGGTAATTAGTTATCTATTTTAGCTAAATCCTATTCTATAAATTAGATTTAACACCATCAATAAAAGTATCGAATAGAGTTTTAATTTTCATGTTTTTTCTCTGAATTTCAAGAACAATAAGGTCAATCTCATGACAATTGTCTTGAATCATCCATCTTTTGGCGTAATAATATACAAATATAGATAGACATCTAATTATTTAAAAGAGGACTAAACTTTTACAATAGAACATACAAATTAATTAAACTTTTTTGTTGTTTTTTTTTTCTTCATATGAACAAAATAAACTATTATCTTGGACTATCTTGTATAATTTTCTTTTATAATATTTTAAGAGTGAACATGTAATTTATGCATTATTATTATTTTTGGTCCAAAATGTGCTAATTAAAAGGTGACCTCATAACAAACAAAATGGAATCGATCTCCTAGTAACATTACTCTCCTTTTATTCATTTTCTTTCTTGTTGTACCAAGCATATCCTTTATATATATTTTTTAAAATGATGCTTTCAAGTTGTGTATCCATGGATCTCAGAAAATGGTCGGTTTGTGTAGTTACACTTCTCTATAAAACCTACTCGACCTTTTCTTTTCTTCAGAAAAATAAAAATTACTCTTTAACTTGCATTCAAGAGAGGCCTATCAATGTTTGCTCACTTCACCACCATGTCCAACTCCGATGAGTTTCAAGCACCGAAGCAAAGGCGATCAGCAAACTATCATCCAAGCATTTGGGACCCTAAGTTCATCGAGTCACTAAGCACACCATATACAGTATGTCCATTTCTTTTTTTTCTTGGAATATATATATAGATAAATTCATTTTTTTTTTTTTTCTTGGAATATATATATATATATATATAAAGTCCAGTTATTTTATTGGTAATCAATTAGTAATAGCTCATGCTGGCCTATTTTGTAGTATGACTTTTATGGTGCCAAATTAGAAGAGTTGAAGGGTGAAACAAGAAGGTTGCTGGAGTCCACCAAAGACCTTTCCATGCAGTTAGAGCTTATTGATTCAATGCAACGCCTGGGAGTGGCTTACCTTTTTCAGGAAGAGATCGGAAAATGTATTAGTAGTATTGCTTGCTGGGATGCTACCGGTGGCGACCTATACACAACTGCATTGCGATTTAGGCTACTCAGAGCACATGGTTATTCAATTAGTTCAGGTAAACTAATATATATAGTTGCATATTTGTTTATTATATACTGCGAGTACATGGTTTGATTTTAACTTAATTTTGGATGATGGTGAAATTAAATCAGACGTGTTCGACAAATTTAGAGATAGGAGTAGAGGGAGATTCTTGGAAAGCTTAGGGGATGATGTGTTGGGTATGTTGAGTTTGTATGAAGCTTCACATCTTGGAATGCATGGTGAAGAAGATTTAGAAGAAGCCATGAATTTTAGTACTAAACATCTCAAGTCATCAATTGGGAAGTTGGAGATGGGACAAGCTGAGCAAGTTCAACGATCACTGGATATGCCCTTATACTGGAGGATGCCAAAATCAGAAGCCAGGAACTTCATTGATGTCTACTCTGTGGACGATGCGAAGAGCCCAGTTCTGCTGGAGTTGGCTAAACTGGATTATAATATAGTGCAATCGGTGTATCAGAAAGAACTAAAGGAACTTTCAAAGTAAGTCTTAAGTTTGATTGAAATGCTTTTCTTTTTTCCTTTTTTATTGTGGATTAATGAGGAAGAGTAGTAATGAGTTTAATCTTATTTACTATTTAGGTGGTGGAGAGACTTGGGTTTTAAAGAAAAGCTTAGCTTTTCCCGCGATCGCTTGATGGAAAACTATTTGTGGGCAATGGGGACCATCTTTGAGCCCCAATTCTCCAAATGCAGGATGGGAATCACAAAATTTGTCTGCCTATTGACTGCCATCGATGACATGTATGATATATATGGATCATTAGATGAGCTTGAAAGTTTTACTGATGCAGTGAACAGGTATGATATATATAGATCGAGATACGTACTATTAATGTATGCTGCTCTTTTAATTTGCACTAGCTGTAATATTAATGTTTTCTTATTTCTTTATTTTGTTGTATCAGATGGGACACTAATGCCATGGACGACCTCCCTGAGTACATGAAGATATGTTATTTGGCCATGTTCAACTTTGGAAATGAAATTGCTTATGATGGTCTAAAAGAACATGGCTTGAATACTCTGCCCTACATTAAAGAAGAGGTGAGCAACCTGCAACCATTAAATATAAATTTATGATTTTTACCAAGTATTATCAAGCTAGTGGCTAACGAGACAAAACTATTCTAAACATAATTGAAGGGTGTTGCAGTAATGCATCCATCTAACCTATAGGAGCAATCAGGATTGCGATAAAATTTTGAAATAAGAGCAGTGTTAATTGCACTCGCACAAGCGATTGTTCATTTACAGTTGCAGTTAGGATTGATTAGTTTTAAATGTATTAATTACTTGAGTTACTTTACAAATATTACTTTTTAAAATAAAAATACCCTTTTAAATTATCTAATCTTTTTTCTTCTCTCCTCTTTTAATCGAGGATGTGTGCCTATATATGTAACTAGTGTTATGTGAAAAAATAAAAGGAAAAAGAAAAAAAAAAAAAAAAAAAAGAGCCAGAAAAATATCCAAAAAGGATAAATAGAAAGGTAAAAAAAATAAAGAGTGAGAAAAGAATCTCTATACACGTAGGAGATGGATTCTGAGATCGATTATATATTTCTTCTTACACCTATCCTTGAGTAAATGAATTATTTCCTTTTTTGTTATATATGTTTCTTTTTGTTTTTATTTTTTATTTTTACAACTATCCGTGTGTAAATGGATTAAAAAAAAAAAAGGATATAAAAGAAAAGGAAATAATTCTTTCACCAAAAAAGAAATATATAAGTATATAAAACTAATTTTGTAGATATATATATTTTAAATCTCAAAATCTATCTTGTTCTTTTTCAGATTTTTTTCTACTCTTTTTTTTTCTTTCAAAATCCATCTCTTGCGAATGGATTATCCTATCTAATTTTTAGCATCCATTCAGATCACATTAGTTATTATATATACACACACACACACACATACGGGCACACATCCCTATATGAATCAATTAAAAGAGGAGATAAGAAGAAAGGCTAGATAATTATCATTTTATTTTTCAAAAAAAAAAAGGAAAAAAAAGAAAAAGAAAAGTTAGATAATTTAAAAAGGGTATTCTTGTCTAAAAAAGTAATGTTTGTATAGTTGTATAAAAATAGAGACTCAAAGTAATTAATGTATTTAAAATAATCACTCCTAGCTGGGATTATGAATGAACAGTTACTTGTGTAACTGCAATTAGCATTTTTCTTGAAATAATGACAAAATTTGGAAGTAGGAAGTAGGCATTTTCATTGTTAACAATAATAAAGTGGGTGATTAATGTTTAATATTGCAGTGGGCAAATCTTTGTGGATCATATTTGATAGAAGCGAGGTGGTTCCACAGCTGTTACACACCAACATTTGACGAGTATTCGGGAAATGCGTGGATTTCGGTGGGTGGTCATGCAGCCATAGTCCATGCTTACTTACTGCTAGCGTTTCCCATAACCAAAAGCTCCCTCGATTGTTTCAAGCTTGACTCCCATGAAATTTATTGGTCATCTCTCATTACCCGACTCAGCGATGATTTGGGCACTTCCAAGGTACATATATACATATATATATATATATATTGTAGTAATCACTAGTTTAAAACCATTCTATATCATACCATATTGTTTCTTTTATTTTTTTATTTTATTTTATTTTTTTTTGAAGGCCGAGATGGTTAGAGGGGATGTAGCAAAATCCATTCAATGCTACATGATAAAGGAAGGTGTGTCGGAAGAGGAAGCACGCGATCACATTAAAGGCATAATAAAGTGTTCATGGAGGAAGCTTAATGAGGGTTTAAGGAAATTTCAGCCTAAATCATCATCCATTGTAACCATGTCATTGAGCATGGCGCGGACGGCCCAGTGTATCTTCCAACACGGGGATGGTATCGGTACATCGGTTGGGATGACCAAACATCTTTTGACTTCACTAATCGTCACGCCCATTATAGTGAATTTTAGTTAATTTTTCAATATGGATTTATAGTGAATTTTAGTAATTTTAGTTAATTTTTAAAGATCATATAACATAAGTAGTTATGAATTAATTTTTTCCATATTTTCTCTTTATAAAAAATCACACTTCTATTCATTTATTCTTTTAATTTTTATTTATGTCTAATCTTGGTTATGGCCTAACCAACATCCACTTGGCCACCCTCCACGTTCTTAATCAGTTAACTGAAATTAAAAATAATAATAATAATAATAAGAACGTCTAGGATGGGTTGGTTAGACCATGACAGACATTCAAGTGTGGCATGTCTAACAACAATTTTTTTTTTTTTTTTTGAAATTTCAATTAACTGATTAAAAACGTCGAGGGTGGGTGGGTGTTGGTTAGGCCATAACTACGGTTGGACATACCACACTTGAATGTCTGCCATGGCGCATGGAGGTGCATCAATGCCATGGCCAAAAGACTTCAATGCACTATTATTTAATTGTACTGTACAACTCGAATTATAATATGATTAATTTTTAAAAATTTAATCGATTGATTAAGTTGGTATATTAAATTCGTAAGTAGAATTTAAAGTTTAGTCCAATTAAACAATAAAGCTTGTGAATGACCGGTAGATAGTCATCCTCGTGCCAGAGCCACATACCGTTTAAAAAAAACAAGGCAAAAGAAAAGTCCTTCAGTATATATGAATTTATTGAAACGAGCCTTAACTCTTTAACTCATATAATTGCGAGTGAAAATAAAATAACTTTTTCTTTAAGTTTTGTTTGTTTCGGTGTAAAATATATATTTTTAATTTTATTTTAAGTTATATATATATATATATATATATATATATATATATATATATTTGATGTTTGATAAAGGTTTAGATCGAGTTTGATGTCGAGTACATCAAATGGGGCGAAAGAATGGCATTCGGGCGAAGTTGGAGCGAGTTTAGCTAAAACCTACTTCGCTCCGTTAAAAATTTTGTAATACCAATTCCGCCCCTACTTCGGAACGGATTTGTAATTGGTATATCATCCCCGCTCAACTTCGACAAACAAAATACCAACTCAACACCTTGTACTCTTTAATATGGAGTGGGGCAAGTTATGCCAGTTTTATTATTTAGTACAAAAAAATTAATCCAAGTACTCAAATTGGACTAATAAATAAACTGCTAGAACTTTTAAATTACTAAACAGTGAATATTAATAACACTTCTAGCAAAGTAAAAAATGTATTAAACATATTGAATATATATATATATTAGGGTTAATTACAACGACACCCCACGAGGTATATCATATTGACAGCTATATACAACTTAGCATTTTTTTGGACAAAGACACCCCCCACCCCAAACATGATAACCCTTTGACCACGTAAAATGACCAAATTACCCTCATCCAAAAAAATCCTTTCTTCTTCTATTTTTTTTTTTTTTTTTTTTTTTTTTTTTTTTTTTTTTTTTATCTTCTGTGACCCTTTCTTCCCCACCGTCCGCCACAGGCCCATAGCCGAGTCCATCATCGTCCCGCCGTCGCCCTCATCCGAGCCATCCACAGCCGCAGTCTTTCCTCCACCGTTTGCTCACTGCCATCGCCACCGCCGGGCTGTTCGCTTCCGCCGCCGAGCAGAACCAGCCCATCGCCTACAGCGAGCCCAACCTCACCACCGTCCAAGCTGTCCATCTGAGCCGCCGCCGCCGCAAGATTTTTTTCTCATCATCATAAATTGAACAACTGTGATGGCAACTTGAAATACGAGTAGTACAATAACACATTCAGAAACATAGCTAATTTGTTACCAACATCCGATTTGAATTTAATTTGAAGCCCAGATTGGGTTGTTTTGGCTGCTCTCTTTTGACAAATTTCAATGTGCGAAATCATCACAAGCACAACAGCTACGGCTAGGGGATAAATCTCTCATCAGCTTATGAAGATATATAGCATTGAGATTCTAGCTCACATTTACATATGGGTGGTTGAGGATGAAATACTATCACAAAACTTTTAACCATTCGGATCATAAAACAAAAACATAAAAAACAAAACACATAAAAAATGAAAAGGCAAATTCCAATGAATTGAACAGGCAGCTATTTGTTCCAAATCATTATGCAAATCATTCAGTAATTTTTTTTTTTTATTCAGTGTACTATGCAAATCATTATGTAGTTCCAACCACAAAGCGAACAGCCTCGGTTTATTAGTGGATTGAATGAAACCAATATTTTATGCACACCTAAAAAAATAAAGTAAAATAAAATAAAAAAGATAAATTGAAGAGGCCCCCGTAATTTGTACAGAATACTGCCACATATCTGATTCAGTATATGAACTATACTGTCAAGGGTGATTGTGAGGGTGTTGCTGAAGCCTTGCAGATTGGGCACCAATTCTTCAGCTGCAGCCATTGGTGTACGCAGACCATATGAAATGCATGCTCACATCCCAGTCTCCCCACTTCATCTCCAAATGCATATTCTTCCTGCAAAATATCCCATAAAGCTATATAGGTAAGATGAGATGAGAATCTGAGATGTTGAAAGAGAGAGATGAGATGAGAGGGTAGTTTGGTCATTTTAAGTGAGGATTAAAATATATCTTAGGGCATAATAGACATTTCATGTCACTTAAAGCTTTGTTTGGCTCTGTTTTTTTAAAATGGAGTGTCATTATTCAAGTTTGTAAATCTAGAGGGTGTCTTTGTTCAAAAATCGGCTAAGTTATATATGGCTGTCAATATGGTAAACCTCGGGGGGTGTCGTTGTAATTAACCCTATATATATATATATATATATATATATATATATATATATATATTAGAGGTGGCAAATTACGACACGACACGAGTTAAAAGAGATTAAGTTTAGAATAAATGCGTATGGGGCATAAAAAGGTCAATACGATTAACCTGTTTACTTAAATTGTGTCGGGTCAAGATTGAAGAATTCAACCCGTGTAACTCATTTATTACCCATTTAACTCAACATGTTATAATCATGAATATGACATATATAATATGTTATCTGTTTAAACTCAATTACTAGGGGATAGTTAAGTCATTTCAACATAAATTTTGTCTATGTTTTATAATTTTTTTTTTTTTTTTTGAATATTTGGGTTGATTATGACAATTTTTTTTTTCCTATTATTTATTATTTGATTAAATATTAAATGTCTCGTTTTGATAAACAAGCCATTAAACGGGTTAACATGTTTACCTGTTTAATAAATGGGTTGGGTTAGTGTTAAGAATTCTTGACATGATTATTAAAAAGATTGGGTTTGGATTTACCTGTTTAGTATAATACCCTTACATCGACACGGCACAACACGAACATGACCCACGAACACGAATTGCTATTCTTAATATATATATATATATATAATTGGGACGGGGTCATCACTAAATCCGCCCTCCCCCTCAAAACCCGCTTTAGGTTTTCAATTGTTTTATCATACCCATCCCAAACTCATTTAAAGGGCTATCAAATCCACCCCATTAGTTTCGGGGCAGGGCGAAAACCCACCGGGTCGAAAAATATTGCCATCCCTACGTGTGTAATTAACTTGCCAAGAATTGATGAGTAAATTATTTTTGTTAAATTTTAATTTTTTTTTTTTTTTTTTTTTTTTTTTTTTTGTAAATATTTTACGACAACAAAAAATAAAAAAATATGTTTTAAAAAATACTTTACATTCAAACAAACAGAGCTTAATGTTTACTATTTCATGAATTCTGGTAATGAGATCTTGAGAGCATTCTTTAAGAGCTAAATATACATCATTAATAGTTAAAAAATATCAAATGTTGTGTAGCTTAGTGATAACTTCTGTAAATTTTTAAACGGAATAAAGAGGATTAGAGTCCCATAAGTTTGAATAATTATTTAGTGTTGAACTGTGATACTTGTTGTCATCTTGTATCACTTTATCAAATTTACACTTCATATATTTTGTTTTAATTTTACTAATTTTTATTTGTTTTGCCTATGAACTTTTTATACATTTGGTTTGAACTTTGCTGCTAAAACGTCTTCAAGTATCTAATAAAAATTTGTTGGATAAAAAAAATGGTAATAAAATTATGTCCTAAGCATTTCACTATTTCATTTAATAATATCATAAATAGGTACAGGATGTGTTTGGCCGCATAAAATTGGAGTTTTGAAATTGATATTGGTGAAATAGGAAAAAAATTTAGCTCAATTTTCTAAACAACTTTCTTTAATTGTATCAATTCCAATTTCAAAACTCAAATTCCATGCAGCCAAACACATCTCATATAGTAATTCACGAACTCTCGAAGCAGTTAAACTCAAGCTAGCTCCTTTGCTGACTCACCTATTTCTAGGAATATTCATACTGATCTCCCACAGTGTGTCATCCAACCGCCTCCTAAACCGGGGCACTTGGAATCCGAGTGAATCAGTAAGGACACCTTGCAAGGCTAAATACGCATATGTCTAATAACACCAATCATCATCACTTTCAACCACTGAACCAAAGGCGATCAGCAAACTATCATCCAAGCATTTGGGACCCTAAGTTCATCCAGTCACTAAGCACACCATATACAGTATGTCCATTTCCTTTTCTTTTTCTTTCTTGGAATAAGTATATATATATATATATATATATATATATAAGTACTTCAGTTATTTTATTGGTAATTAATTAGTAATAGCTCCTATTTTGTAGTATGAGTTATATGGTGCCAAATTAGAAGAGTTCAAGGATGAAGCAAGAAGGTTGCTCGACTCCACCAAAGGAGACCTTTCCATGCAGTTAAAGCTTGTGGATTCAATGCAACGTCTGGGAGTGTCCTACCTTTTTCAGCAAGGGATTGGAAAATGTATTAGTAGTAGTCTTGCTTCTTGGGATCCTACCTGCAGTGACCTATAGACAACTGCTTTGCGATTTCGGCTCTACTAAGATCACATGGTTATTCAATTAGTTCAGGTAATTATATATATATATATATATATATATATATATATATATAGTTGCATATTAATTAGCATATTATACTGCAAGTACATTTCATGACAAATATTAGAGCAACTAATATTATATGGTCATTTCATGACAAATGTTAGTTTAATGCAAGTACATATCACCAAACATTTATGCTTGGTTTGAGCAACTATTCTGTCTTTTTGGTTGGGGTGATTTTGGAGTTATTTCAGCTTATTATCAATGGTGGAATGTAAGGACTAAGTAGTGTAGGGAAGTGATATCAAATATGTTGAGGAGAGTAGTTGTATGTTAGTTCAACCATTTTTTCTACTAATTTTCTTCCTGATTTCCGAACACTCCTTACTGCTCTGTTTCAGTGTTGAAAATCAAATCGATATCCCTTTATTCTTTTCCATCTTCATCTATGTTGAACATGAGAATATGGATTTCTTCCTCCTTTGGACTTGTTTCACTCGTACGACTCATACCTTTAGGTGTCTTTTAGAAGTAATATTACTTTTAAGAGGGGCGATTAAATTGCCTTCTTTATATATAGAAGCAAAATAGGAGGCACTGCCTATAACTTCCCTTCAAGCAGATATGGCAAGAAGCATCATTATTTGAAGAACATGCCATATTAAGTATCTAATATGGAGTTATGAACCATTACCCTGGTCCTCAATCGCACAAAAGTAATGGGACTTATGACACTAGAGCCTATGAACCTCCTGATCATGGTCGTGAAGGGTTGGGTTGGGTCTGTGGGAAAAGAATATCAGTACTAATATTTAGGACATTCAAACTCACAAGTACAAAAAAAAAATCCCTAAAAAAAGACCATATCAATCAGTAATCACATTAAGAATGAAAAAAAAATCACATGAAGATTTAACCAAACAAAACACACAATAATCACGTATAGACCATTCAATATGCTATCACCAAGCAATAAATTGACTAGAAATTTTAGACAAGGAGCAGATTATCAATAAAACCATGGTGAATCAAAGATAATGTGAGCTATAAGGAATCATACAATGCAAAAAAAAAAATTCAAAACTATTCTTCTCTTATCTTAATTCCACTTGGGAAGTGCATTTTAATCAACAAAAACCTTGTTAAATATAAAAGAGAGAACTTTGTATTTATTGTATTGATATTTTTGAGATCCACCATACAAGAAAAGTTTATATAGAAGGGGTTATGTGTAATAAACAAGTAAACCCTATACTATACAAGGATATAATCTTATATATGGTAATCCTATATAAGGTTAGAATATATTATACAATATAGTAATAATATATTCACTAATATATTCTAACAGCCCTCCTCAAAATCAAGGTGGATTGAATGAAACCATCTTGAGTTTGGAAATAAATGTGGATTGAATGAAACCATCTTGAGTTTGGAAATGAGATCTTGAAAGCGGAATGACGGAAGCGATTTGGTGAAGATAGGTTTTCACCCATGATGAAGATAGAGACACGATTAACAACTGACGTGACACTACTGCTGGCATCACGCACTACTGCTAGCATCGTTGTTGATGTGTCTTGGACGATACCAGTAATCGAAAGGCTCTAATACCATGTTAAATATAAAAGAGAACTCTGTATTGTATTGATATATTTGACATGTATACAAGAGGGGTTTATATAGGAGGGGTTATGTGTGATAAACAAGTAAACCCTATATGTATATGATAACTATATATATGGTAATCCTATACATAGATAGAATCCTATATATGATAATCCTATATAAGGTTAGAATATACAATATATTCTAACAAACCTCTTGATCATGGTTGAGTCTGTGGGATAAGAATATCAGTACTAATACTTTGGGCAGCAAACCAGCTCTGAATGAGGGGTACTTTGGCAGGACAGTGGATTAGCAAGTGACACCAGAGCCTTCAAAACTAACAATTACACTTAAGACTTGGGGATTCGATTAGGCTTTTGCCAACAAACCAGCACTTGAGGTACTTTGGCAGCACAGTGGATAGCAGGGACACGAGAGACTTCATTCGTGATGATATAGTACTTGAAGGGATCCTCAGAGGACCTGAAAAGATTGACAATATGGTTTAAACATAAATCAATCAAACATAAAGTTGTTAATCCAAGTTAAATAATTATTAGGTTCTTACCTTCAAAACTAGCAATAAGCTAATAACAAATTTAGGACCGATGTGCGAGTTCATGAAGGGAGCCCAAATTATATATTTTCTGGGGTTGACGATATCATCCACTCCGGCGTCAGAAAGCTTTGGAACTAGGCAGAAATTGATCTAAACCGGGTTGAACCAGTTCCGAATCGCCCAATATCACCACCCACATGTCTCAGACCATTTTCGTCAGGCACAGCCGATAACACATTGTTACATAAATTGATCGTCACAATGTGAATACTGAAAGAGAAAAATACATACATATGCAATAAACAAATGGAAATCTTTGTGAAAGTTTAATGTGACAACTTAATACTTGTGGTTCTAAAAGTGTAAATTAACAAATACTATTTGAAAGGTTGGAAACAAAATACATTCTAATGATAAGTGCCAGTTGACCCACTCACAATTCTGCAGCTAGTTTAAATGAAAAATCTTACTATTATCTATAATATAAGTTTACATACTATGGGCATTTCTATAGTCAGATAGATATAATCATTTTGCTATCATAAACAAATGAGTTTTCTTTTTCTGTGTTTTTTTTTGGTAAGTCAACTTTATTAGAAGCAAGCAAAAACTGTACAAAAGGAGCCCACAAAAACGAGGCCGAAAGGCAATAATACAAAGCTACTCAACCAACAGAGCTGCCACAGTTACAACTATGGAGCAAGAAGACAGGGAAGCCACAAGAAATCAATCAATTGCAATAAGTAGAGTTGGCCATTCAATTGCTAAAGCATAGTAATCACCTACTTCAGAGTGTATTGAATTCTCTGCCATTTTATATCAATTTTTGAAACTCTAAAACTTTGGTTAAAGTTAATGGATTTTATATTCTTGAACCATTTTCCTACAGAGAGAGGAGGGTTGTGATTATATACCTGTCAATCGAATAGTTCACCGGAGACAAATAAACACCAGATCCAAGCACCACTCCATTTTCAGGTTCTGAACATTTTGAAAATTCATTAACTATGATATTGGCAAGCTCTGTTCGTGAGCCACCGTAGAAGGCGTAGCTGAGATTAGAAGTCCCCTGAGGCCTTTTCTTTGCCACAACCAGCTTCACGTTAACAAAGGTTTGGTGCCAACATTTACCCATTTCCTCTTTGAAGTTATTGGTGTAAATGCAAGAGCGGATCCAGAATTTCTCAATGGGGTGGGTTAAATCAAAATATATCTAAGTATAAAGTTACAAGCATATATATATATATGTATGTAAGATATACGTAGTATCATATTAGATTAGCAAAGTTATAAATATATAATATTAATTATTGTCTCTGTTTGTAACTTTGGGTGCATCAGAGCCTTCCATTTCATTGTTGTACACTTCCTAAATCCGATGCATGAAACAAGCCAAAAGCTCACAACCCTATCGGTTCACAGTTGTAGTGCACTTTTGTGTCCCCAACCATGTATCTTTCTCTCTACAAGTCCATATCTATAGAAGTCTCCCATGCCAATATTAGTCAAGACGCTCAGAGAGCTTATTTTGTCCTAAGTTAGTAATTCTTATTGGTGGACTCTCTCTTCTTTGTTGTTTCAGTTTCAATATTTCAGAAGCTCTGTCAATGCTCAAACTGATAAAGTTAAATTAAAGTTGTAGAGTCTTCTTTTTCTTTTTCATAGATAAAATTAGGGTTTAGAGAAATGAAAAAGAAGAGAGCCCAAGTAAATGAATCATATTACACACCATTGTTTCAGAATTTCAGGAACTGAAAAATCATGTGTGAAGTGACCAAAGATTCTTGTAACTAAAAGAATTAGACACTATGCTCAATAGTATGTCTTCAACTCTAAATTTCCTTCAATTCTAAGCGCTTTGACTTAATTTGAGTGCATCAACATATTATCAACATCATCAGTCGTCATCACTAAAGTCAACATTGACATCAACATCCTCGTAACGTTGACATTAACATCCTTATCTAGAATTACGTAATCCTCTTGCATAGATATACATTTGATTAAGATAACTTGAAAAGAGATTTCCTATCACAATTGATCATTTTAAAACCAACATCACTGCTACAACGGTAATATATAATTCAATTAGCTAGGCAAAAAAAACATACCTAGTTTCTTTTTCCCTACTCCACCCATTCCAATCAACTCTCTTCTTTCAGAAAAGGGACCTACATTATTAGGACAAAAGAGGAAAAGTTTTAAAAGCGTTAAACTTGTAAAACATATATTCTTAAATTGAAAACTAAACTTTCAAGTCTTTAATTCCCATTAATAAATTGTTCAAGCATCACATTATAACAATATTATATATATGTATGTAGAAAAAAAGAAAAAAAAAAGAATAATCCGTATGTAAAACATGAATATATAAACATAACCAATTAGCTAAAAATGTCAATTAAGATTTTAGAAAAAGTAAGAGTTTGTTAACTGATGACTGAGGAGGCATGTTTCTTGAACCTTGTTCTTGCTAAATGTTAAGACCCGACGCTAACACTAAAAATAAGAAAACACTCAAGTTGTGAGGAAGAAGTTTCACAATCTCATTCATAACAATTAAAACACCACCATCTAAGTACTATTTGTATCATGTATCAACCCAACCCAACCCAACTATGCTTTCAGTCAACATGTTGGACACCTATCCGTAGAAAGAGGTATGATTACGGATAAGTGTGATTAGCACATATTATACTTAACTCTTATGTTAAATTAATCCAATAACAAAGTATAATGCATCCGTTTAGGAATAATCTTCAAAATTAACAAATGAATATCATGATATTCTGCATTCTAATAACAAAAGAAAATCAAAAACCAAAATTTGAAAACAAAAATATGGCAGAAAGATTGAAAATATTTTGACCAATTTACCAATCCTATTTGGGAATCTACTGGTGGAAGCAGAGTGTGAGGTAGTTTATGGCAAGCCCCTTCCAACACTATGGAATTCACTCAAAAGCAAGCCTTTTGTAAGTATTTTAATTTTCAAGAAGTAACTTTAGAGCTTTACCCTAGATTAAGCACTTTTGCTTGTCAAAGTTCTTGTTATGATTTTTTTTTTTTAAGCTCTGAAAAGATTTCCATCTTCAAAAAGCTTGGCATGTTGATAAAAATTGTTTCAGATTCAATCTCTCCAGATTTCTAATTCAATTCAGATTCCTTTTTTTTTTTTTTTTTTCATGCCCAGATTCAAATTTTCTTCTAGACATAATTGACCAAAAAATAGAAAAAAAGAAAAAGAAAAAAGAAATAGAAGTTATAGAAATAAAAAATATATATATTTGTTTTGCTGAAATAAAAGGTAGATTACAGTGATTACCTCAAAATGCAATGCAATGATTACCTCGAAATGCAATGCAAATTTTGTTACTTTGTTTAAAAATATATATATTTAAAAAAGATCATAAAAAATTTCACCAAATAGGATTTAGTTTGCAAAACAAGAATTACATACCTTGATTAGTTGATTTAGAAAAAAAAATTAAAACAAAACCCATACATACAAGTAAGCAGTTACAGAGAGAGAAGGGGGCAAGCTTGAGAGTTGAGAGACAGCGGGCCAGCGGCTGAAGCTTGCGAACGGCGAACCCGAACTGGAACAGCGGGCGATGGAAACTGAAAGATATGGGATCTGAAATGATATGCCGATATGGGTTTTGAACTTTTGATTCTTGCAGACATATAGATAAACTGAAATATATGGGTTTTGAACTTCTGATTCTTGTAGATTTTGTAGTTTGCAGTTGCAGAGACAGAGAGAGGGGGGTTTCAGAGTCGACAACGAGAATAGAGATGGAGGCGATTGGGGAGGCTGAGATGATTTGCCCTAAAAATATTTTGTTTTTTTGGTGACCCATCACCATGTGCCTATAAATGTTGAGGCCCTGTCTTTGTAACCTTGGGTCAGGTCGGTGAAAGGCTTATTTTCTTGGGCCTTTATTTTAGTATGGTATCTGAGTAAGAGAAAAGATAAGAAAAACTAACATTTTTAACGGAATGTTTTAATACCAAAATTTAACCTTGTAAAAGACAAAATCTAAAAAAAAAAATAATACTATGGTGATAAATTTATTAAAATAATTTATTTTCTTTTATTTTTTCACACATATTCAAAAAGTTGGGCGCTTTGAGTAAGTGATATTTACCTACTCATTAAGTAAAGACAATATTTACCTACTCATTAGTGAGTAAGTGATCCCTATTAGTCGTTGATATTGTCTAATCACAAATGCAAATATAGTTTATAATTACAAAATCAATAAAGTAATAAATAAGAAATGTAAATATAGTTTATAATTACAAAATCAATAAAGTAATAAATAAGAAAATATAGAGGGTGGTGAATTTATTCTCCCAAAAAAATAATTTTTTTTTTTACTTGTCATTTTTCTGAAAATAGTGTAAATATTATTCAGTGAGTAATACCCATTTTTTTTTAATTTATTAGTCAACCAAATAGTCAAATACAAATACTAGTCGACACTATCTTATTCTTTTCATTCTTTTAATTTTTTTCCCTTTTCTTTCATAATTAACATAGCTTTAAAAACTGAAACTCCGAAAGCAGGAAGACGACTGGCCTAACTTTTGCTGCAACATTTGGAAGAAATTGGAATTGGGCTTGGGCTTGGGCCTTAGGTTGTCTTATGGGTTGTTCTCTATTTTTGAGATCTGTATTATGGGGCCTGTTTACATCCTAAATGTCTCATCCCATGATCTTTCTACATTGGCTAAGGCTTTGAAATTTTGTACAGGTTTGCTTAAATTTATACAATTCTTCCATCAATAATCGAATTACATAAATCAAGTGCTTAAATCCCAAAAAATGATTGTATAAAATTGTAATTTCTTGATAAACAAACTTGCATATGTCTTTTTAAAATTGAGTTTGATATATTCGTCATGAAATTTGATGTAACAAAAGCACACAAGAAAAGAACAGGAAAAAAAAAAAAAAAAAATATGAAAAGATGCCTTAGCCTGCATTAAATATGAAAAACCATCAAGGTATGTTTGGCAGACATTGAATTAAAACTTTGTAATTGAAATTGGTGAAATTGGAGAAAAGTAACTCAGAAAATTGAATCAAAATTTTCTTCGATTCTACCGATTTCAATTCAAGCTCCATCCAATTCTATACAGCCAAAACAGGGTTTAACAAACATTAATCATCCATGAGTTGATTAATTATTCATGCCCATGTTCTACTGTACCTTCTAGAAAAGCAGTTTGATAATTGAACTATAAATTTCTTTGTTAATGATACAAAAAAAGAAAGAAAGCAAAACTTTTTCTTTTCCAGAACAATGTGAAGCATCTAATTAATTATTGCGTTATTTTGTTTATTTTAAACAACCACACAGTAATATTATAATATATCTCTACTAATATTTGAAATAGCATTATTATTTATAATACAGTGTAAACACCTTATATTTTAATTTTCATGTCCATATTCTATATTTTCTCGCGTCAAAGGTTTCCTCAAGTCATAGGAATATAAGACACACCACTCACATGTTTCCTCAAGTCATAGGAATATAAGACACACCACCCCGAAAGAAAGCAGTATTCATGTTTAATGTCATATTTGATTCCCTAAAGTTTCCACAAATTATATAGTTATATATTCTTGTTTGATTCCAAGTAATAGAAAATGATTCTACTCACTTTCTCGTACATATCAAACTCAAATTTCAAATGTTCATAAGTCCCCATTACATTGAATTCCACTATTTTTATTTTTTAAAATTTTTTTTTATTTTTAATTAACCTATAATATATTTTAAATTACATTGAATTCTACTATTTTAAAAATAATAATTACAAAATTTTCTTGTTATGAATTGAAAACCTCAAAAATGTATTGGTGTCATGTTCAATGATTCAATCAAAATATTAAATTATTTTATTTTTGGAGGCAGTGTCTAGACAATATCATAATCCATCTCTAGACAAGAACGAAACCATGGCACAGGTGGGGCATGTGCCCCATGCCCATTAAATTTTTTATTTTTAATGTGTCTATAATTTATAAATACTATAAAATTCCCCCAAATTTTTCGTATCCTTCCTTATTATTATTCTTTATTTTTATTTTTAACTCTCTTAAAAAAAAAATTACATTTTCTTTCTTAAATTGAACTCTATTTTTTCCGATCCTTTTAAAATTCTCTAATTTTATTTTATCTTATATTAATATGCTTTCCGAACCAAATTTCTAACTCCAGACCGATCTAAAAATTGTTCATGCATGGACTATCTCTTCTGAAATTGTGGCCAGAGGTCAATAGTCAACTGGAATCAAAGTTAGATTATCATTTTCTCTCCTTTTCACTAGTTTTTCAACTTCTCACCTGAGGAATCACACTTGAAAATATGAAAACATTTTGGTCTTTTTGCTTGGAATTGTGTGCGTAACGGCCTGCTAGTTGGCTGAAAGAAGCTTCATATATATATAATAATTATAATAATAATAATTATAATAATGAGCCGTTAGACGCATGCGAGTTTTTTTTACTAACTAAATCAAAAAAAAATATTGTAATTTTTTATTTTTTTTTTACTAACTTTAAATAATGCTCATGTAAAATCATACTTCCTAGTTGACAGTAACCGAAACTTTATATATATATATATATATAATAACAAGAAAGAGAGGAAAGAAAAAGAAAAAGGGTGTTGGTGGGGAGAGTGGAGCCGGAGACCTAGTCGGGATGCAGAGAAATGAAAGGGGAAAAATATAGACACACGAGCACGCACGCTTTTGTAATTTTAGGTAAGAGTGGGTTCGGCTGAAATTTTGTAATAATTGTAGAGGGCATCAATAATATTTTAGGGGTATATATTGAAAAAGAAAAGAAAAAATAGCATGGTATATTAATAAAAACTTAAAAATTCAGGGAGGCAATTGCACCCCCTCACCTGCTAGTAGGTCCATCCCTGCGTTGTCGAGTTTGTAATTACATTTTTTGCCTTATATATATATATTGTATTTTATTACAATAAATATGTCTTTTCAAGAGTAGAATTAGAATTTGAAATTTAAAATATTGCTAACATTAACGTTTTTTTATCATTGACCGTTAACGAATGGAAGGTATATATTATTACATACAAATTTTAAAGGAAGTAATTTTAATTTAATAAATAAAAAGAGTTAGTGTATATTAACGAAACCTCAATAGAAGTCAATTTAAGTTACCATACAAGGTTTAATAAAAAAAATTTTACTAATTTTGCCTTATTTTTTAGTAGACAAAATTCAAAAACACATGGGAGACATTTGACTTATTTTTATCCTCCTTAATCCTCTATTAGCATTCAAATCGTCACGTTGGTTGTCAGATGTCTTACCAAATTAACCTAAACGGTGCATTGGTTTTTTTATTGTGAAAGCATATAGTGGTTAATTCATTCATATAGTTTTTTTTTTTTTCTTCAAACATTATTAAAGCTAACACCATCATCTCTATTCTTTTTCACTCCATTTCATATCTTTTATCTTCTCTCACGACTACTATTCTTTTGTGAATAATGTTATACTGAGGTCGGCCTCATGACAATTGTGATATATGAGGTTTGTCTTTTTGTAATGATAATATACAAATATTGAGGTTTGCAATATGTTTATTAATTTTAACAGTCAAAATTAGAAAAAGTCATTTATGCCGGGAGCACCAAACTAATTTTTTTTCAATTTCAAAATGAAGGCGCCAATTTAGTGCTTTCAAAAAAAACATTACAGTATATATATCACACAAATCAGTCAAATTTTTACATTCTCTTTCTTTTGATTTCATTTGACCAAATTAAAGAAATAGAATTTTCAAATAAACCTTTTTATGATGAATCCTCGTGAAGTCATATTTTAAACTTTAATTGCTTTTATAACTCCAAAATAAGGACCGTAAATTTTGAATATTAAAAATATAATACATTGAATTTTAAATTAGAACAATTACTTTGAGACAACCAAAATAAAAAAAGTAGACACGTTTTGTAGTTTTGTACATCGGAGAGAGTATTATCTATGACCATCTTGTATAATTTTATTTATAATATTTTTGAGCTGATTTTTTTTTTTTTTTTTAGAGTGATATCACTTCAATATTGGTTGCTTGACCATGAAATTTATGCATTATCAACCTCCCCCAAAAATGTGCTAACCTAAAAGAAGAGCTAGTAACAACTGTTGTAAGGTTGACTTCGTCATAATATTAGTCTCTCTCTTTTTATTTTATTTTATCTTTCTCTCTTCTCAGTTGTTATACCAAACATATACTATATTTTTAAAAAAAATATTTTTTTTTTTTATAAAATTGATTTAGAAGGCCACCATTCCTAAATGGTGGGCCTATGCATGCAAGTGGAACCCGGAAATGATGGGGCTTGTGTGGCATAAAACTTCTATAAAACCAACTCAACTTTTTTACGAAAAATAAAAACTACTCTAACTAGCTTGGTTCTTGAAAATTAGGATCGATCTTTCCATCAATGGAACTAGTTTATACCTCTGCGCCGACCAGCAATGTAATTAATGTTTGGCGTGGAATGCCATTCATTCCAGTAGTGCAACAAATGAGAAGCAAGAGACGCCGTCTAGCAATGTTTGCTCACTTCACCAACATGCATATGTCTAATAACACCAATCATCACTTTCAACCACTCAACCAAAGGCGATCAGCAAACTATCATCCAAGCATTTGGGACCCTAAGTTCATCCAGTCACTAAGCACACCATATACAGTATGTCCATTTCTTTTTCTTTCTTGGTGTATATATATAAGTACTTTCAGTTATTTTATCGGTAATTGTTTAGTAATAGCTGAGGCTGCGTATTTTGTAGTATGAATTATATGGTGCCAAATTAGAAGAGTTGAAGGAGGAATCAAGAAGGTTGCTTGACTCCACCAAAGGAAAAATTTCCATGCAGTTAAAGCTTATGGATTCAATGCAACGTCTGGGAGTGTCCTACCTTTTTCAGCAAGAGATTGGAAAATGTATTAGTAGTATTGCTTCTTCGGATGCTACCTGCAGTGACCTATATACAACTGCATTGCGATTTCGGCTACTAAGATCACATGGTTATTCTATTAGTTCAGGTATTTATATATATCTATAGTTGCATATTAATTAATTAGTATATTATACTGCAAATACAATATTCCATGTCATGGTTTGCTTTTAACTTTTGGATAATGGTGAAATTAAATCAGATGTGTTCGACAAATTTAGAGATAGGAGCAGTGGGAGATTCTTGGAAAGCTTAAGGGATGATGTGTTGGGTATGTTGAGTTTGTATGAAGCTTCACATCTCGGAATGCATGGTGAAGATGATTTAGAAGAAGCCATGAATTTTAGTACTAAACATCTCAAGTCATCAATTGGGAAGATGGAGATGGGACTAGGTGAGCAAGTTCAACAATCACTGGAAGTTCCCTTACACTGGAGGATGTCAAGAGCGGAATCCAGGAACTTCATCGATGTCTATTCTGTGGACGAAACCAGGAGCTCAATTCTGCTGGAGTTGGCTAAACTGGATTACAATCAAGTGCAATCGGTACATCAAAACGAACTAAAGGAACTTGCAAAGTGAGTTTTAATTAGTAGTACTTTGAATATTGAAATTCTTTTATGGTGGATGAATGCACGAGTTCAATATATATATGTTTAATTTACTATATATAATTAATTAGGTGGTGGAGAGACTTGGGTTTTAAAGAAAGGCTTGGTTTTTCCCGGGATCGTTTGATGGAAAATTATTTGTGGGCAATGGGGATCATCTTTGAGCCCCAGTTCTCCAAATGCAGGAAGGGACTCACTAAATTTGTCTGCATATTGACTGCGATCGATGACATGTATGACGTATATGGATCACTAGATGAGCTTGAAAGTTTTACTGATGCAGTGAATAGGTACGTATAATGCTAGCTGTACATTTTATTAAATTGTACTAGTATACATATACTGTTGTCCAAATTAGCTAACAAGTTTTCTTATTTCGATCTTTTTGTTCAATCAGATGGGACATCAACGCCGTGGAGGACCTCCCTGATTACATGAAGCTATGTTATTTGGCCATGTTCAACTTCGGAAATGAAATAGCCTATGATGGTATAAAAGAACATGGCTTCAACACTTTGCCCTATATTAAAGAAGAGGTGAGCAACCTGCAATCAATCATTTTTAAATTTATGCTGCTGGGTACCACAATTGAGTAGATTCTGTGCCATGTGATTAATTTATGTAATATATATATATATATATATATAAAGGAATATATATAATGTAAAAGTATCTCATGTATATATATTATTTTTTTTTGTCAAATATTGAAAATTTAATTTGAATGAGCAAGTGAATTGGCTAATGTGACTAAATCATTCTGTCGTACATAGTATATTTTTAGCAGAAATTTTTTTAACCTATAGGAGCACCAAGATAGCAATAATTTTTTGGAAAAACAGAGCAGATCGATGTGAGAGCAAATTTAGTAATGTTTAATTATTGCAGTGGGCAAATCTTTGTGGATCATATTTGGTAGAAGCAAGGTGGTTCCACAGCGGTTACACGCCAACATTTGAAGAATATTTGGGGAATTCATGGATTTCAGTGGGTGGTCACGCAGCCATTGTCCATGCTTGCTTACTGCAACAACTTCCCCGAACGAAAAGCTCCATGGATTGCTTCAAGCAAGGCTCTCAGACAATTTACTGGTCATCTCTCATTACCCGACTTAGTGATGATTTGGGCACTTCCAAGGTATATATATATATATTTTATCACTTTAGACCATTCTATATCATTCAAATTGTAATGAATTAATAATTGATCATGCTGCAATTTTTATTTTTATTTTTTGAAGGCTGAGATGGTAAGAGGGGATGTGGCGAAATCCATTCAATGTTACATGATCAAAGAAGGCAAATCAGAAGATGAAGCGCGAGATCACATTAAGGGCCTAATAAAGTCTTCGTGGAGGAAGCTTAATGAAGCAAGTTTAAGGAAATTTGGCCCTAAATCCTCCATTGTAACCATGTCATTGAGCATGGCACGGACAGCCCTGTGCATCTTCCAACATGGGGATGGTATTGGTACATCGTTTGGGGTGACCAAAGATCTTTTGACCTCACTTATCGTCACGCCCATTCCGATAACTAACCACCCTGTCATGAAGTGTAAACTGCATTAATCGGAAAAAGAGAAGAAGATGGACTCCCCCTTCTTTTGCTCTCTTTTGTTTTATATTCAGATGAGATACAACCTTCAACCCTTCACCTCAAAAGCAAAAAAATAAAAAAATAAAAAATAAAACCTTCAACTCTCTTTTGCTCTCTTTAGATTTGTAGAAAATGGTTGATAAGGTATAATGGTTATCACACACGTCTAAATTCATTAAAAGCGTTTTTAATAATTATCAATTTTAGCTTAGTTAAGCTTTTGAAAAGTTATAATTTGTTTTAAAAACTGCGTTCTAAGTATAGATTAAATATTTTAAGTAGGGGTGGCAATTCGTGTTCGTAGGTCGTGTTCGTGTCGTGTCGTGTCGTGTCGATGTAAAGTTATTATACTAAATAGATAACCCCAAATCTAACCTATTTAATAATCGTGTCAAGAATCATCAATACTAACTTAACCCGTTTATTAAACAGGTAAACGTGTTAACCCGTTTAATGACCTGTTTATCAAAACGAGACATTTAATATTTAATCAAATACTAAATAATTAAAAAAAATTGTTATAATTAACCCAAATACTCAAAATTAAAAGAAAAATCATAAGGCATAGATAATATTTATGTTGAAATGACTTAACTATCCATAGTAATTGAGTTTAAACAGGTAACATATTACATAAGTCATATTTACGATTATAACATGTTGAGTTAAATGGGTCAAAAACGGGTTACACGGGTTGAATCCCTTAACCCTAACCTGACACGATTAAGTAAATGGGTTAATCGTGTCGACTCTTTTATGACCCAAACCCGTTTATATCAAACCAAACATTTTTACCTCGTGTCGTGTCGTAATTTGTCACTCCTAATTTTAAGTAACTTTTTTTTTTTTTTTTTTCAAATACAATTACACTTCTTTCTTGGGCAAAGTACAGAAAACTCCTCTCAACTTGTAGTATTTTCCAGTAAACCCCTCTCGTCTAAATTTTTACGAAAGAACTTCTCTCGACTTGTAGCCATTTCCAATAAATCCCCCTTGTAAAATTTTGTACCAAAAAAACCCCCTCAACAATCTAAGGGAGGTAAAAGAGTTGATTTTTGGACCAAAATGCCCTTTTATTTAAATTTTAATTTTTTCAAATTTCAAAAATTCATATCTCACAAATTATGCATTCATTGTAAATAATATATGCACAGAAAGCTTATAAAATAAGGATTCCAGAAATTTAATACTTGTTTAACAAAACTTCACAGGCAGAGAGAAATAGACAATCTAAAAATCTACTGGAACAATATTATTTTATTTTATTTTTTATAAAATACTTGGGTTATTTGTAAGAAAATTTTCAAAACAATTCATTTTCATATGAAGCATAATATATAAAATAAAAAAAAATTAGCCCCAATAGAGATCGAATATTCGTTTTTATTATTTTTTTTCAATGGTGAATCAATAAAATAATGAAAATACTTTGACGCAAAATATGATATTTTATGATATCGATCTCTATTGGGGTTAATTTTTTATATATATATTTAGCTCCATATGTAAATGAATAATTCTGAAAATTTTCTAACAAATATTCTAGTATTTTATTTTTAAAAATAAAATAAGATTGTTGGAGTAGATTTTTAAATTTCCTATTTCTCTCTAGTTATGAAGATTTGTTGTTCAAATTTTATATTTTAGAATCCTTATTTCATAAGCTTTCCGTGCATATATTATTTGCAATTTTTAAATGTACGATTTGTGAGATATGAATTTTTTAATTTTGGAAGAATTAAGATTTAAATAAAAGGGTATTTTGGTCCAAATATTAACTCTTTTACTCCTTTCAGATAGTTGAGGGGGGTTATTTGGTAAAAAATTAGACAAGGGAGATTTATTGGAAAAGGCTACAAATCGATGGGGGTTCTTTGGTAAAAAAATAGACAAAGATGGTTTACTAGAAAATGCTACAAGTCGATGAGGGTTTTCTGTACTTTGCCCCTTCTTTCTTTATAAAGTTACTATTATCAAATATGGAAACATTTTTTTTTTTCCTAGTTGGTACTTGATAGGGAAAAATAAACCTAGCCTACTTTGACCTAACGATAGGGGCAATTAAGTGTTGATCAGCAGCCAGACCTCTTCGACTTTCAAACGATGATATTTCCATTGGATAAGAATGATAATATTTCATTATTAAGGATAATGAAAGATGACGTGGTTTAACAGGGTAAGGATAACCTTGTCACAATTTGAGTAAGTCAAGAGAGTTAAATCATATCCCCGACAAATCTGGCAACAAACGGATCTCCTCTGACCTCGCATAAGTGGATCTCTTCTGATCTCGTACAAGCGGATCTCCTATGATCCCACAAATGAACTAAGGGAAAGCGACTATAAGAATGAAATCCTACTAGTCAATAAAGATACGACAAAAAACTATTATTAAATCCCTGCCTTTCTTTTAGACCTCCGGTGACTGACTTGATCGTCGGAGAGACACCACACCAGCGCTGTTAAGATTCATCGATCTTCTACTTTCTTTTTTGCAGGAAAATAGTGTCGTATCAGACCACGTGGATTTCACCCTCAACAGTTAGCGCCGTCTGTGGGAAACAACAATTCCCTTAAATCAATTAATTACTTGGTTGGGTATATGTACTTGCGGTCCGGTATGATAACTGGAACAGAAACATCGTTGCAGAGATCCAGTCAAAGATTAGGGTCGGGTGAACACCCCGACTTCCCGAATGACCAGGAATGACTTGCAGCGTTACACTACAGGTTCAATGTGATAACCCCAGATTTCCGAATGCAGGTTGGCCAGGCCCACGCCCGAACACCCGAGGATGTCAAAAACGAATCGGCAATAAACGAATACAGAGTATAAAAAGCATAAAGAAGAAAAAATAAAATGCTGACAAGAAACTAAAATGATAATCTAATAATAAACCTCATAATATATTTCCATTAATTAATAAACTCTTCAGATACAACTGATCCTCCAAAATACAACTCGGGAATCCATACTGTGTGGACCCCTAGAAAATCCAAACTAAACAAATGACAGCAATAACTGTCTAAATCAGGAAACTGAATCATAAAAGAACTCATATGCAGCATCGGAAGAATGAAGTAGACTGATCCCCGCTCAGCACGAATAACCTCTACTCCTAACGAACTCCTGAAAAATAATGGTGGGTCAGGCCCACAAACAAGTTCTACTCTACTACAGTCCAAGTAGATATCCGATACACGTATACATCCTAGTCAATCTAACAATAACTAGTAGTCCGTATATATATATACACACACTAAAGGAACCTCACTAGACTATAGGGTTGTTTCAACCTGAATAGTAGGCAACATGCAAAACGCACATATAGTGGGCATGAGTACCTAGACCTACCAGGGTACACAACTACACTATATCTAGCTACACATCCCTAGCGATATACGCGCCCTAACCACTAATCCTGAGACTCAAGCTCATATCATGGCACCATACTTATATATATATAATTTAGTAACCATCCTATCCAGTATAAATTATTCCTCCATAAGTCATTCAACTTGTTCAGCTGACTTGACTTGAATATAAGTAGGACTTAACATTTTAGTTAATCTATTCCCTTATATAATAAATTAATCCTCTATAAGTCATTCAACTTGTTCAACTGACCTGACTTGAATATAAGTAGGACTTAACATTTTAGTTAATCCATTCCCTTATATAAAATAGGTAGGACTTAACTGATAAGTTAATCCGTCCCTAAAATGCCACCGTCCCATACCGGTGCATTAAACCACACAATTCAACAATTGATGTAACGATTAAGGAAATACATCAAACAATCCAGAAATAACTATGATAATATGATATCAAGTTATCACAAAATAGGAATGACTTAGTATTTATTTAAGCTTCCTCTATCATATGTCTTACACAAACTGAATCTTATACATGATGATATTTTATCATACCGTCAAATAAGCATTTTCTATATCCAATTCATCCTACGCATTTAATCTCAATTGCTAAAACATTTTAAAAGATTAAATCCATTCGTTTGTTTAAAACATTCAAATAGCAAGCATTATTATGATTGAGTCTATTTTAATTTATTTAAATCCAAACCTAGTTCCTATTTAATGTTCAGGAATTCTAGGCACGTATTTACGTTCCATCATTCCACATATATGAAAAATACATAATTTAAACATATAAAAATTCACACCGGAAATCAAATCAAAATCATACATTTATCAATTCATAACACAAGAACAGATATAAACCAATTTCATAAAACATATGTTCTAATCCAATTAAACATGCATAATTATTTAATTTTACATGTTTAATAAATTCTGGAATTTCCTAGGCATGTACAGAAACACGAATCAAAGGGAAAGAGATAGAAGAAGAACTTGCCTTAAACTTTCGGATCGAAAGTTAAACTTCTTCTTCCTTGATCTTCTCTGTACAGGATTTTTTTCATCCTTCCTTTCTTTTCCTCCTTTCCTCTCTAACTCTCTCTCTTTCTAGAATATATCACGTGAATATTTCTAACCTTCTTTTACAACCTATAGCTATATATTTATAGGCTAAATAAAATAACAGTAACCCTTTTCCTAATTTAAGTCAACTTAAAAAATAAAAATTAAAATATTAAAAAGGTAAGTAAAATATGTTAAATATATAATTTATGTATATCTTTATTAAATAAATAAGTTATACACATCCCATTATTTATTAATGGATTATCCAATAATACTTAAGTTACCATAATATTATAAAGTAACTTAAAACATAACACGTATCAAATCTATGTATATTTTTATTATTTAAATATAAAACATATACATCAGATTGAATATTACTACCCAAATTATCATAAAAGTAATTAATAAATTATTTTCCCTTTTATATATATTAAAAAGGTAAGTAAAATATGTTACGTATATAATTTATGTATATTTTTATTAAATAAATAAATTATACACATCCCATTATTTATTAATGGAT